ATTGGTATCATCTTAAAGCTTGTTCACTTGTCTTTGTTTTGGATGAAAAAAATATCCATTTATCCTGAATACAAGTCGAGATATTTTCGAATGAAGGAGGTGGGGGTCACCTGTTTTCAGAGGTAAAATTAGTGAGAAAATGGGGGCCAAAGATTAGTTATTTCCTTAGCTTAAGAGTCCGTGGTAACTGAAAATTTACATTTTTTGTCCCTTTAATCAACGTTTTTCAGAAATATCCACAGAGAAATGAGTTCTTTAATGGGCTTGAAAGGTGCTGAGCCAAAAAACAAAAATGTTATAAAAATTCACAAACCTGCGTTTTAAATTCAAGTTTCTTCACTTTGATTATTTTGACGAGAGCCTGATTCCACCACGCTGTCTCACATATTATCCTGGCAACTGAAAGAAAAACTTACGTAAACGAATCTGGAAAATGTGCAAAACATCTGGTAACAGCAGCGCTTGTTAGAACAAATAATAACGATAAAAATGTCCTTGTTTGGATATCTGAATGAATTTGGTTATAACAAACACTCTGAGTAAACGGACTTTTATTTCTGCTCCAAAAGAAAGCAAACACCTCACCCTGTTTGTGTGTGTGTGTGTGTGTGTGTGTGTGTGTGTGTGTGTGTGTGTGTGTGTGTGTGTGTGTGTGTTTATTCATTAAGTTAAGGCGCTTATCCGCCGGCCGTCAATAGTAAACTGTAAATGGTGTATTTATTTCGTGAATGGCTCATTCAGCGCTCTATGACGTCACTGTTTCAAAAAAGTACAACAGCACCAGCTTGCCTCTCAAGAAGTTTTGTTTGGCTAGTTGTGTTGTGTTCATCCTTTCTCATGTTGTTTTTATTGTTTTGTTTTTTATTTTTTATTGGGTTTTTTAAAGGTTTTTTTTTAATTTTAGCTGAGTGCAATAAACAGCAGGCTCATTTGGGGCATCGTTTCAGAAATCAGAAAGAGGAATAATTCGTTTAATTACCCCTAAGAGTACTTTTGGTAGACTTTTATTAGACTTTTCGATATCTCTTTAGTGAGTGCATAATACGCTTTTGAATACATGGATTTTGAAGACATAGAGGGTAGAAGTCCATAAAGCACCAAGACACTGTTTGTAAATGGTCTAAAATGTGTCGACAGGGGCTTAAAACGTTTCTATTACACTATTTACCACTGTGTTGGTCGAAAGCTTGAATTGATGAGAATCTAGAGACAAAACGGTACTTAATATCATGTTGTGTTTGGCGCTTAAACACTCCTACATTTTAAAAAAAATCTCTGTATAGGTTTCAAACCAAGATTGTGGACATCAAAGATCAGCTTGCTTCCTACTGAGAAAGAAGTAGATCAAAATTCTGGGTTACAGCAGCAAAAAGCCCCGGGCATTTCAAAACTCGAGCACCGAAAAAAAAAAAAAGAACAAAATTAAATTAAAACATCCTTAAAGCCAGGCACGTACGTAGGTCTAAAACGTGCGTTTTGTGTATGAGTAAGACACATTTTATTCCGAGTGTCTGACACTCATTGCTAGAATGGATGTACCTACGTGCGTCATCATCTGGTCTAATGGTTTGGAAATCAGGTCAACTGTCGCCCTGTGTTGGTAGCAGCTGGTAACTTCTTAGTCCTGAGATGCCACTAGAAAGGGAGGCTTTAGGGTAGTAAAGTAAATGTTTTACATCCACTTTGACTCGGTATAATACCGTCTTTGTAAAAAAAAAAATACAGTATATGCACATTTTACACTTTTACATTCCCTGTAAGGACAATTCTCAGTTAACATCCACCCTTTGGCGCTCATATGACCGTATGCAGTTGCAAACGCCATAACACCTCTACAAAATTAATATAAATAAATAAAGAGTTTTACAGGAGGGTCAAAAGAGGTTATCAATAGCACTGCTCATAACCTCTTTGGAAGAGCCAAAAGCCTAAATGGTCTTACCAAGGAAATAACATTTGTATTATAGATAATACGGAGGTTGGTTGCTACCAAAGTTGGTCGCTTTTAAGAACAAGGGGGCTATCCCGAAAAAAATGTCGTTTTGAGAAAATGGAAGGTAAAGTTTTTGAACCCTAGTTCAGTTTCTTTAAAAGACAAGGAGAGTTTTCTCTATAACCTAACAAATATACACACCAATGACACCAAACTTCTCCTATAGGTAGGGCAATGCCCACTTTCGGTGTAGGTCAAGATTACAGGAAACCCCCGAAATCTGAGTTAGCCCGCTTGTCCTTAATTAAAAGCAACCAATTGTATTCATTCTAAAGAATATTGACTTAGGATATTTGCTAACAGTTTTCTTGGTAACAATATTCAGCTCTTTTGGCCCTTCAGCAAAATTATAACAACTGCATATACGGTATTTTTCCAAATGATGGCAGTATAGATCATGTAGGAGCCCAGTTGCTTTGACCTTGGAAATCAAGGTCAACCCAGTTTGTAGAGGACACTCGATAAAATGTGTTTCCATACACGAGGATCGAACTCACCTGGGGGGGGTTCTCGTGGTCTAGAGGAACGATGTTGGCCTCTCATTCAATAGGTCACGCGCACACACGTACACAAACACACACACACACACAC